AATCACTTTGTAGGATTTGTTTTTTTTTATATGTGACTAAAATTAGTTTCAACAAAGAACGTTGATACTTTAATCTAAAGCAGGGTTTAAAGGATTCACACGAGCAAGATGAGTAATGGATCGCTTTTTGATGGGCTGTTCTTAACTTCACACTTGAAATTAAAGAGGGTGGCCAAACTCATATTTGCAAAAAAGTAAGTTAATGTGGTGTTGCCGTGTTGGCATCAAACTCATATATGGTCCACAGGAGGATGGTACCAAAAGGAGAATGGGAGGAAACGAGAAGATATTGTCACTTGAGAAGGAGGGTGAGAGGGAAGAAGCCATTGATGGGAGTTGAGGTGAGAATGAGGGGTATTTTGGCATAAAAGTAAGCTCAAGGTACTAGGAATGGGGATTAGATAGGTTCAATGATGTCATCCTTAATACATCATTTCATGCAATCTCCTTTGCTCAATGTAATTTTCTTTGCCTTACAATAGACCCACCAAAAAATATGAATGTGGGAAATGTATCAAGATTACATCATCTTACATTGAATCAAACCAAATAGGCCTTATAACTTTTTTTCCCCATAAAGAGCCTCATAATTTAATTTGATTGGTCTCAAGCTTAATCTTTTTCTTAGGATAAAACCTAAATTTAAGTTAGCTTTAATTATCAATACGCACACACACCTATATCAAATCTATTGAGAGCCGCACTATTTATATAAATAAATCTTTTAAAAATTTTGTGTGCGAAACTGATATATAATTGTGATGAAAATCGCTTGCAAGGATAAAGTGCCAAACAGCCCCATTCAATTCAATTCAATTCGTCTTAATTTTATAAAGTAACTGTGAGGTTGGGTCACTATAAAAAAAACAACCTAACAAATATTCCTTTCATTTTTTTCTTATATATTCTTTAAGTTTTCAACATAGGAAATAAGAAATTTAATTATTATGTCAAAAATTCTTTTTACTTTGCTAGCCTTAATTTATTGTAAGGATTGTTGCTATTTTGAATTTTAAAAGTTAAGAGATTATAAAGGTACGAACGATAAAAAAGTATTCAATGATTTTCAAAATTCTAAATGCTCGTTTGGTTCACCAAATTAATGAGAATGGAATGAAATATAATGTAACAGTGATTATAAGATGTTTGCTTGGAATGACTCTAAGGAAAATAAATTTTTATATTTAATTAAATACAAATTAATATTAAATGACCATAAAATTCATGGGGGAAAGAGGAAAAATTCTAATACTCCATTGGTTTTTTCCTTCTCCCGCAGTGGGTATAGATGTCATAAACCCTCTTTATGTCTTCTTTCTCTTTCTTCCAAATGTAGATATCATAGAAATACAAATTCTAGAAATTATAAATTGGAACAAATCTAGAAATGGAAACCACAAACAGAAAATCACAAAAACACCCTCTATCAACAATGTTAAAAAGTAGTAAGAGAAGACGATGAAACATGAATCGTTGATGAGGAAGCAATATGGTATTTGTCCAAGGCAAAGGTTTCCAACAAAAAGCCAAGAAAGATTATGGAACAAGAAGCATCAGAGAGGAACAAATCCAGAACTCATGAAAGATGGTGATGGCATGATGGGTTGACAGTAAAAACAGAAGGAGATGGAGGGAGGAGGTAGGAGGCAAGAGGCAAGAGGAGGGTGAGAGTAAACGAGGAGGGTATTGTGGTGTAACATCCTGAGTTTTAATTCCTTGATTAATTAAACCTAATTAAGATAATTAAGTAAATTGAAATGTTGTGTGCCAAAGAGATCTAGTAATCATGTTTGATGCCATTTTAGCCCTAGTCGTGTGTCTGGTATTGAGACGGACCACCCGGCCATTGAAAGGAGAAGAAAAGGAAGAGTTAAAGTTGTTATGCCATATGCCGCGGTGCGTAGATCGTCCGCCATGGCGCACAGCCATCTCTAAGCGAGGGAAGACCTATATATGCCATGCGTCGCGACATGTGCGTCCACCACGGCGCATGGCCATTTTCTGCACTTTATCATACGCAAAATGAAATAAAAAAGAAAGAAGAGAAAATAGAGACAGAAGTGACGCGTTATAGCTCTGCTAGGGTTTACTTGGAGATCACTTTGAGAGTATTTTGAAGGCTACAAACACCCAAGGTAAGTATGATATTCATTAATCTCCCCTTTTCTTCCACATTTATAAGTTTATGGTTAGGGTTTAATAATGAAAGTGGGATTTCAGTCCATATGGGTCATGGGTCTAAATTTGTTGACATAATTAGAGTTAATGGGGGTAGATTGAAGTATCTAAACCTAGGTATAATGAGTTTTAGTGTCTTGGGTTGTTGTGCACCATAAATACTCGAAAATTTCATTTATTGTGGGTGGTTGGAAGTTTATGATGCCATTAATGAGGACTTAATGACTTATTAATGCTATTGGGGGCTAAAGGTAATTATTAAACCTAATGGTTAGGCTTCACCTTTTGTAAAGTGAAGGTTGGGCAATTTAGAAATAGAGACTGAGGATTCAAATGTTTGACTTTGTTATGTTGATGGAATTCAACTTGTTGATTGTAGTTTTGGCTCTTGGTCACTTATTGGAGTGAAAATTCAAACTTGAAAGCTAATTGATTAAGAGGTAAACCTTTAATCTTTCAAAGGTTTGAGGAAATTGGGGAGAAATTCTACTTTGGGTAGTTATATGTTAATTGATTATTAATTATTTGTGAATATAAAATTGTAAATGCTTACACGCATGATATTGGTTGTTTAAGTGAGAACTATATATTATCTTTTTTGAGTGCATGAAAAAGCCATTTTTGTGCTTGAAAATGCAAGTGCAAAGTTAAAAGGATTTTACTATGAATATGTCTATATTTTTTAGAAATGAATGTGATGATGTGTAGAAATATTTTTGTGTTAATAAGAAATGAATTTTGAGAAAAAGATGAGAATGCACACTTGGGCAGCGCAAGGTTCTGATCCCAATGTAATTGTTGTAATAGTGAGTGTGTGAAAGTAAAGAGTGAGAACAAGTGAGTATGGTTTATGGCATGAACAGTAACAGGAGTTCACCTAGAAATTTAGGAGTAGAAAAAATTCATATGGTAATTAGGCTGCCTTCCGGTACACAGGGGCTATAGCCTTATCCCATTGTTTGTAGAGGGACTGTCTCATAATTTGTCAAGGGACTAGAACTTAGCTATCTCCACTGATTCAATGAGGAGAACAGCCTAGGATATGAGACACCCCAGGGATTTAAGAATAGGGAAAGCTATGGTTTGAGAGTGAGTCCTATGATCTTTGGCTGGGTCACACCTTACAATTGGTAAACTTAGGTAGTCTAATCATACGGACGGAGCCCTAATCAGTATTATAGCCCACGGTTTCAGCTTGAGGAAATACGGAGAATATAAGGTTGGTTAATCATTGCGTTAAGTAAATATATGGCGTGTCACACATGCTAAGTAGTGGCAGGTCGCAAGAGTATAAGTCATATCACATATCTGAGAATATGACGACAATGCACCTAATTATGTGAGAAAAGAAGCTATAGAGTAATAAATGATAAAATGTAATATATGAGGATATATTTTATAAATTATGGATATGCTTTGAAAGTATGATGGGATTGAGAGATTTTGAACTGTGTTTCTATTTGAAAACTCTTTCTAGCAAATCAGATGCCAATAAATGGTTATCAAGTGAACAGTAAATAATTTGAGCATGTAGAAGCATAACATATAGATATGGAAATCCATTCCAATGAATAAGATAATATTGGAGGGGACCATATGGTTTATGAACAGTATGTGGTTCCATATTTGCAATAACATCAGCTCTGGATGGCATAATAGACGAATTAGATAGAGCAGAGGCTGATTAAAATTGGATACCATCATTAATTGTTTCAAAATTCTTAACTACCACGTGTAGAATTTACTTTCATAATTTTTTTTTCTTGATTAAGAGTTGCCTGTTGAATCTCATTAATACTTATATCTAAAGTAGGAGCAAAAGCTTCAATATGATTCGACTGAATTTTTTTAATTTTTATGTTATCACATGCCTCAATCTCAAAATAAGTAATGATATTGTTCTATAGCACCATTAATATAGTCTTGGTTATGTATATTATCTTATTCAGAAGTTAAAATATTAGGATCTTTATGTTTTAAGATACTATTAAGAGGATAAGGAGTTATTTCCTTTTGATATATCTTTTTTTTCAACTTGATAGCAATGTCTTTCTTTTAACATGGATTGAATGCCCTTTTGCATTCCAACATGCTAAACAAAGGTAAATAATCCAAGATTCAATAATAAGGGAGCTAAGATAAAAAAAAACATATACGCTATGAAGTGTTTATATATTTTGAAGGAGTTGAAAGCATATAATTTATATGTAATACTTAAAAAAATTTAAAACTTTGGAGGGGGCACAGCCCAGCTAGTCCTCTCCTTTTGCTCCTGATATTAAAGTCCCTAATATTTTCTATAAAAAATTATTAATTTATTTTGTTGTCAGATTTTATTGGTTATTAAATAAGAATATATTTGGAAATTGTCAATATAGCATGAAAATAATTTTTTGAATAATTGTTTAATTTTTCATTTACAATTTATTGAATTGATATTCTCAAGCATAAGAAATTGAATTTTTAATTTTTTTTTAAAACTACTTTTCTCAAGCTATCTATCATAAATGTGGGTGCATAAAATACAAAATATACAAATTATTCATAATAAACAAGGAATAATGACCAGCGTCATACCTTGGATGTTTTATTTAAAACTTCAAAACAGTTCAAGCGAAAGGAGGAAAACAAAAGAAAACAAGGGGAATAAAAACTGGCTTCCCATTCGCTGACTTCAAATCACGCGGATAGCTGTTCAAAAACATCTGGGCCGTCGATAATTCTTGATCCAACTTCCCACGTTGCGCTCGCTGTGACATCCTTTAGAATCACCCTTTTAGTCCGAAGCTCTATAAATTACCGACCTCGCGTTCCAGATTATCATCTGATTTTGCGTCAGTACTACAAATCTAGCGCCCCTGAAATCTGTCCCGTCACCAAGCGGCGAACGAAGCAGGATTTAATGGATTCAACCGTGAAGGTGAAGAAAGGCGCTGGAGGAAGAAAAGGCGGCGGGCCGAAGAAGAAGCCAGTGTCCAGGTCTGTCAAGGCCGGTCTTCAATTTCCTGTTGGAAGAATTGGTCGGTATTTGAAGAAAGGAAGGTACTCACAGCGTGTTGGAACCGGTGCTCCAGTTTACCTGGCCGCTGTCCTTGAGTACTTAGCTGCTGAGGTAATTCTACTCTTTAATTTTCTAATCGATTAGTGCGATCCTAGCTTTCACTGCCGGTAGATCTCGTATTAGTGCCGTTGGGAATGTGAGATCCCTCAATGCAATTTCAGGGTTTTTCCGATTTCAATTTCTGAATAATTTGTATATATATTAGCGATTGAATCTTAATTCATTTGGAAAGGACGGAAGGCCTTTTGATCCATTTGACGACGGTCCTATCTATCCTGGCATGTTTAGATTGCATACGGACAATTTCGTGCTGACTGATTCATCATATATACGCGGCTGTGCAGGTTTTGGAGTTGGCTGGAAATGCAGCTCGAGATAACAAGAAAAACAGGATAATCCCTAGGCATGTTCTCCTCGCGGTGAGGAACGATGAGGAGCTTGGGAAACTTCTGGCGGGCGTGACCATAGCTCATGGAGGCGTCCTCCCCAACATTAACCCAGTGCTCCTGCCCAAGAAGACAGACAAGGCCACTAAAGAGCCCAAGTCTCCATCGAAGGCCACTAAGTCCCCCAAGAAAGCTTGATTCTATTTTTAGCCCATTCGTATTTTTGTTTGTGTGATGTAAATTAGCTATTAGGCTTAAGCTCTAGCAAAACGTCTCAAAGCACTTAAAATGATGTAGGCTTGTGATGTAATTGTCATATTGAATCATTGAATGAAATCACCTCGATTTTAGTTCGTTCTTTGTTGGCGTAACACCATGTCTATTGAGAATAGTTCGATATTGTGCCTTGAGCATATTGAAGGGGTTCTACAATCTCTTCGAATTTAAGAACCCTTCGTGGCAGGTCGTAAGGAACTATGCCCGTAACGAGACAGTAATAAATCTCAGCCGAGATATAAAAACAATTTTACAGGAAGGACAATAAATTTGTAAAGCAGTTAGCTAAATCTACTCACGACCTAAGCGCTAACATGTAGAAAGAAAGTATGCATGATATGGGCTGGAGAAAATCATACTGAGTGAAATGAAAATAATGCTGAGTGAAATGACCATCCAATCAATAAATCCAAGAAGTGACATGAGACCTAAACCTTGATCTTTTAATTCAGATTAATTTTAAATAATTGTTTTAATTTAGTTTTTTTCAAACTTGAACTAGGTTGGGGTTGAAAAGAATAGATTAAAAAAAATAAATGTTTTTTTTCCTTAAATTCGAACAATTAAAAAAACCATTATTAGTTGCTCCTTGCAGCTTAGAGTGAGTCAAACCAGGGATCTGGGATAAGGTTGTTAAGGCGTGCTAAATGAGCTGAGCTTAAAACAGAAGAAAGAATTGATGGGGATGTTTAGGTTTCTTTGAGCTTGTATCATTCGTTTCTGTTGGATATCCGAGACTCAAGACTGTAATCCTTACGCTGCAAATATACACAACTAATATAGGAGCTTAAGGTATATTTTTATCTCTAATTTTTTTTTAAGTGTGCTAGCTACCCTGTATTGATTAACAGGACAATTTTATCTCTAAATTAATTTGTTGAGCAGTAAAAAACCTCCTATTAAACAATCGTTAATTTTTTTATTTTTTATTAACATGACATGTGTTTGGAACCTATGCATAATAACAAATGAAATTTTAACCATATCCATTGTTACTAATTTGTCTTTGAATTTTTTTTAAAGGCAAGAACACTTAATAGTCTACATTCTTTCCTAGAAATGCTGTGTACTTTGAAATATTGTGCAAATAAAATTTAATAAATATTGTTAAAATATTTAATAATTTAAATATTATTATTTATAAATGTTCATTCAAAATTTATAAATTAATTTTTAAACATTAATAGATCAAACTATTTTTTCAAAATTTTCTAGATGACTTGTAATATTTTAAATATGAATCATATTTTTAATATTCATTGAGTTCTTTAAAATTTTTAGGTCATTATCTATAATTTGTTTAATCAATTAACATTTTTTTTCAAAATATTACACCACTCAATTTAATATTTTAATACTCTTTTAGTTTCATTTATAAGTCACCTCTAGCATGTTTTATCAGAACTAAAAAAATCTTAAAATTTATTAACTGTTTTAAATTTAACAAGTTTTTACCTTTATCACAAATAAATATTTTTCAATTTTATTAGTGCCCCATATATAGGACTATATTTTTTTTTTCTCTCTCTATCCTATAAATAAGATCGAAAAAATATTTTTTTTATTTTGCAATTTTATATTAAGAAAGAAAGGAATGAATATCCAAATTAATAGATTTTTTCCTCTCATCTCTCTTATCAAGTAACTTTTTTAATAGCACATTAATAGGATAGATGATATTTTTTAAATAAATATTTTTTTGGCATATTGTTTATCCATGATCTGTCATGAATATTTATAAATAATAATATTTAAATTATTAAAATATTTAATATTTTAGCAATATATATTAAATTTTTTAATAAAATTTCAAGATGTCTAGTGATCCTAAAAAAAATACTTTAAGCGTCTAACACTTTTAAAAAAAAAGTACAAAAATAAATTAACATCATAGGACATGGTCAAAATTTATTTGTTTTTGTGTGTGGACCCCATACACATGTCACTTTAGCAAAAAAAAAATAGTAAACTAATAGAAGAGATTTTTTACTCCTTAAAAAAAATTTATAGAAAAAATTTCCCCTTATCAACATGAGGTGCTCAGTGTTCTTAAAAATTTAAAAGTAAAAATACATTTTCACTCTTTTATGAATAGATATTAGTCTATTTTCACTCTTAATAGTTGATAATATGTTGGCATGTTGTCTTCTTGCTACTTCCCTTAAATATAATAGAATATTTTTTTAAGGAATCATCTTCTTGCTGTTGGGGTGAAGATCAATGTTGATGGTGCTTTTCATAATGGGTTTGAGGAGAGGGGCGTGGGGCGGTGTCGCGTGAATGGCTGAGGGAAGGTAATGAAGAGATTTTTATTTAAAATAAGTGCTGGTAGTTGTGTAGAGTTTATAATTCAGACAACTTAAATTTATATAAATTGAACTTAAAATATCATACTTTTTTAAAAAATACTTATATAATTAAGTTTGGCATTTATTTTTTTCAGTCAAATTTAGGCTGATCCATTACGCTTGGTTAAAATTACCTACTTTAAATACATATAGAGTTGATGATTTCAACTAGAGTTTATTTAAATTAAATTTAAAATATTTTATATTTTTTAAAAAGTCTATATGATCAAAAATCAGTCCAAACTTCTTTTTGAATGGGTCCAGGTCAGCGCGAATTGAGGTCTTGTTACTGCAAAGGCGTGGTGTGCTCTCTGGAGTCTTTTGGTTGGCTTGGGAGTTAGGATTGCGGTTTATCTGGGAGTGTGACTGTGCAGAGGTTGTCCAACTGATACCTACGATAGGTTTTCGATCACCCAAATTTCATGATCTTTGAGATCCACTGTACGCTTCAAGGAAGCTATGAGCAAGCTTGCTGATTTGCATTTCTTTTTCCACCTCCGGAAAGCACATTGGAGGTTATCTGAAATTCAAAGAACATAGAACATAAAAACATTTTGTATCAAGCTTTTGCCTTATTTCTTTGACTTTTGAAATTAATGCTTAATAAAAATAAGCTTAATCAATATAACATAGAAAGTCCATTGCTTCAATTTTTATGTACAGAAAAATATAATGCTACCAAAAATAACGTTTTAAATAATTTTAAATTTAAAAGTAAATTTTTCAAGTTTTATACCACAACAGCAGCCATGAGGACACCTAAGGTGGCTATGGCTCAGTTCGGTGTAACAGTAATAAATGCTCTAGGCGCCCTTCGGATTGAGAAATATATATCCCAACTGTCGGGCGGACCAGCTCACAGAATATCAAAAGTAAAAGCACATTGGAAGGAGACTACTGTTATTCCAGACTGACAAACACATCAGTTATTAAGTTTTTAAAATGAACAGATAAAAGGAAATACAGAAAACGACAGTAGAGAAGAATCGTTGAAAATATCCAACATTCCAGAAAACTTTGATTCCAGTTAATCCATATATAGCTTTGAGAGGCCATACCAACATGATGTGAATCTATAGTCCTAATTCTACAATACACAAGAAGCTTCAATTACAGGCATTCAACCCAAAAAGACAAGGAAAAAAAAAAGGAGAAAAGGAAGGATAAAACAACTGCTAAACTGAAACCTAAATTTACGGGAATCGATGTCTAAAAGACTTCGTTTTATCGGCAGCACACAACCCAATCAGCCACAGATTTTAAGAACTGGTGAATTTGGTCACCGCTTTGGTGCCTTCCGAAACAGCATGCTTAGCAAGTTCTCCAGGTAACACCAGCCTCACCGCCGTCTGGATTTCCCTAGAGGTAATTGTGGGCTTCTTATTGTAACGAGCAAGCCTAGATGCCTCCTGCGCCAGTTTCTCAAAGATGTCGTTGATGAAGCTGTTCATGATACCCATTGCCTTGCTGGAGATCCCAATGTCCGGGTGGACTTGCTTGAGGACCTTGAAGATGTAGATCTTGTAAGTCTCGATGCTCTTCTTGCTCCTCTTCTTCTTCTTGTCTCCAGCAGCAGCCCCGCCCTCCTTCGGCAGCTTCTTTCCGGCCTTGGGCTTCTTCTCCGCCGGCGGAGCTTTCTCGGCCACCGTCGATTTCTTCTCTTCAGCGGGCTTCTTCTCCGCGGGCTTCTTCTCGGCTTTGGGTGCCATTATAGGAAGTGGGAATTCGAGAATTCGAAGGGTTAGGGTTTGAGATTAAGGCAGATAACTGAAATGCAAGGGAACGAGGTATTGAACATTGAGGAGGAGATGGCGCGTCGAGTGATAGATATATAAAAAATTGTGAGATTCTGATTGGCTTAAAGGATTTCACGCGGATCGGGGTCTTGGGTCTTCTCAATCCGTCAAATGCTTTCGTGTAAGAAACAAAGAATGAATGAATGAGCGGCCACGATGATTTGATGGCTGATATTAGAAGCGCGGATCGATGATAAAGCTTGTTTCTTATCCGTTGATGTCCATTTTCGGAAAATCAAAGTCCGGATATGAGGGGCGCCTTTCTTTCGCTCACAATTTTTTTTTTTTAATTTTCTTTTTTCTAATATGGTCTTCGATTCTCTTCTTAGGCCAGCCAATGGCTTCGCTTTTCAGAGCACGCTCAAACGGGCAGTTACAGTTACAACACTCAACCGTCAACACAGGAGGGCTCGCCCGGTTAGCTCCTTTTAATTACTATTTAGTTAACATTTGAAATAATATAACTTTTAATCTTTTATAATTTTTCAAGAGTTCTTAATGTAATTTTTAAATTTAATTTCTATCATTTCAGTCGTTAAAATTTTATAATTTATCTAAGTAGTCTTTAATCTTTAGATAAAAATTAAGATTGTTAAATTATGATGCCGTCGCTAACTAAATTATGAGGTGGCAGCCATATAGATTAATAATATTGAAAGAAAAATGCTGACTAAAATAATTAGAAAAAATAATATATTCAGGAAAATGGAAAGCAAATTAAAAAGAGGGTGTTGGTGTGTAGCTTGAATCAGAGTTCAAGCAAGACATCTTTGTATTCTCCTTTCGTTCACCGGTGACACTCTTTGCCGTTGTCTCTCTTCGTCAGCGACACTCCATCCGTCTTCACGGTAAGTTTCCAGGAACTGGTTTGCAGCAATGAGGCAATGAGGCAATTATCATACCCAATACATTAGTTGCACACCGAGCTTAGTAATAAACGTTTTTCGAGTTATATAATCCTAGTCACCGTCACCGTGTCACGCACTATTCGCACCTCAATTCACCTCAAACTCCGGCATCTAAAACTTTTAAAAATCACTAATTCAAAATTAGAATGAAAAAAAATTAGGAACTATAAAATAAAAAATTACACACTAGCTAATAGCAATTAGGAGGTGGAGCTGTGGCTCATGTGTATTAATTTTTCCTTATGCGTATTCTACATCAACAATCTAATTTTCATGTTAACTTTTTAATGGCTAATTTGCCTTGTAAAACTTAGAAAACTAATTTGAAAATCAAAATAAAGATTAATATATTTGGTTGTTTAATTTAATTTAACGTTAAGAACTGAAATTATAAAAATTAAAGTTGAGGAACTAAATCAATAATTCCTTCGAATATAAGGAATTAAAAGTTATATTATCTCTTAATATTTAATATAATATATTTGGTTGTTTAATTTAATTTTTAATTTTAATTTTATTATAACTTAATTCTTTAACTAAATATAGTCGTGCTCTTCTTTTTACTGTTAATTTCACAAATGGGAAATGCTGGAGTGAATTTTCATTGGAACTTAGGCAGCAACGCTACACATTCAGATTCGTACAAAAAATTTTTTACTAATGCCGCCAGTATAATTCAAAGTACCATGCATGGCAGTCCGATTGTCCGAAGATGCTCTTCTATTTTATTATCCACCCCACCACCACCAGCATAACGTGTTATTTTATTGGCCAAAAAAATAGGGAAAATTTAAATGAGGATCAATTGACCTATTTCAATCAAAGTTCTTAAAATTATGAAATTTTACCGCACATATAGTGGATTGAAATGGAATTAAAAAGCTATCTAACTGATCTTATTATCCTTAGTAAAGCTAGAAGCATAAACAGCGTGTATAGAAAAAATAAATAATTAATATATAAAAAATGAACAATCGACTTAAATGGAACTTGCAGTTCTCATTAACAGCACAATATCATTGTAAATTTGCAACTCTTGTTATACTCAAGTCAGTTTCATTTTTCCTAAACAAGTTGTTCGCGTGCCTAATTTCAATTGTTTATATTTATAGTAGTATTATACTATTAATGAAAGTTGCAAATTTCACCCACATCAATTATTCATTTTTTATACATTACTTATTTATTTTTATATATTAATTGTTCATATTGCCGGGGACAATAAGATCATTTCAATTAGCTCTTTTATTTTATTTCAATTCCCCACTTATGCAGTAAAATTTTATAATTTTAAAATTTTGTATTGAAATTAAGTTAAGTTAAGGGGTTCTTATTAAATTTTTCTCAAAAAAATACACGTGGAACTAAAGAGGGAAGCGCCACTTGCTGTATTTTACCATTTTTATTGGTTGGAGTTACCATATTCCTTCATTTGTTCAAAAATGTCTCTTCATTTTTTGAGATTTTTTTTAGCAAATATTTTTTTCGGAGGTTGGATGCTAAAAATATATAAGATATTTTTAGAGTTTCAAAATGTGACTAATGTGTTTTTTTTTTCAAAAAATGTATTTAATATATAAATTATTTCATATTTTTTAAAATAAACACCCTATTAAATAAGGTTTAATATAAAAAATGATGTTAATTTAAAGACAAATAGCTAATTTATTGAATGTGAGATTTATTAAAAATGTCTTATATTTTTTAATGAAAGGAGTATACCAATACAAAACATAAAAATCAAAATAAGTTAAATTATTCATAAATAGTATAACATAGTAATAACTTGAAAAACTTAAAAAATTATGGCATGAATTTTAATTATATTTTTTATATGGCTATATAACTACGTTAGATGTGAGCATTGCCAAATTCAATTGAAGTAACTCTTTTAAAAACATTTTCTGTTTGGACTTATACTCAAAATCTTGTGTTTGAGCAGACATATTTCCTTCTATTAAAACTAATACCAATTGACAATATCTTTTTTGGCAGCTGCAATGCAAGATTCTTTCTCATTGCCCATGGACATCTTCTTATTGAAGGCAATATTATTCAAAAAATAATTAGATATTAAATGTGAAGGCTTCTCCCAGTGATGATAAAATATTGGTTTATCATGTTTTGAAGAGCTAGCCTTTTTTTTCAGACTTAACCCTCATTATGCAATTAGTAGTCAAGTCATGATTTGGAGCTAAGGGGTGCAAGATGATTTAATTTAAAAATTAATATTTTTTAAAAATAATAATTTAACTAATGAAAAATGTAATTACACATTGACAAAAATGGTAATACCAGTAGTAGATTGAATTTACTTTTCTTTAAAGAAATTAAAATTATATTGAACATATTAATATAATCTTTTGTGTGAATAGACTCTTCATATTTTATATCAATAATCAAAATATTACATATTTAATAAAATTTTAAATCTAAATATTTCTTATTTAGTTTAAAGGGTGTAAAATATTAAGAGTAGAGGATGTAAAATTGCAGTGCTTACTAAGAATTAATTTTTTGTTTGAGCTTTATCACCTCATCTTTGTTCTGCATTTTATAAAATTAACATAATTTTCTATGGTTCCCTCTTCCCAGGTTATGATGTCAGGGTCCTCAAATGACTGTCAGCATTCGATCATTATTTATTGGATTAAATTGCAAGTGTTTTTTCATTAATGAAGTTTGAACTCCCAGCTTTGCTTAAAGAAAACGTCCATTATTACATTAAATTCAACCATTTATGGTATTATTACCCTAGCAATTCTCTGACTAAACGCTTTCCCCTGTGCAATAACATAAGGGCGAGGTCACTGTGTGAAAGGTCCATCTTTCAAACGTTTAAAAGTTAAGAACATCAAGTGGACTAAATTAAACTATTAAAGTGCATGAAACACGAGTGAGATGCATGTTAGAATTGCCGTTTTAATATTTTTCACAAACAAAAAAAAAAAAATTAAACAACGCAAATGTGTCTTAAGTTCACACACACACACAACGGTCGGGTTTTGATATATGGGTGAGCATTTGGTCGATTTGATCGGTTCGATTTTAATTTCTCTAAAACTGATTGATTGAATTATATAAATAAAAAAGTTGAATAGAATTAAATCAAAATATATAACCGAACTGAATTAAAATTGAATCGAATTTTAATGATTCGATTCGATCGGTCTATTCAATTTATGGGCTTTGATTTAAGTTTATGAAATTTAGTTGCTCATATATTCTTTTATCCAATTTTTTCCCTTGATGTTGAAGGCTTAACAAAAAAATAATAATCTTATACCATAATTCATGAGAAAATTAATAAAACTCAGTATTATTGCACTAAAAACTAAATTATAGAAATAAAAAATTAGAACATCACATTAAATAAAAAAAATACTATTACTGCAAGTAGTAGAATTACGTTTCTTACTCACCTAGATGAGAATTTATTCACATTTTCAAAAATATGAAAGGAAAAATATGAATAATTCGATCGATTCAATTTATTTTATTCTTGAATTCTCAGATCGAATTGAACCAATCAATAGAAATTTTCATTAAAAGAAAACCGAATTCAATCGAAAAACTAAATAGACCAAATCAAATAGATAAAATTTAATTTGATTCAGTTTAATTTTCAATTTTGATTCGATTTTGCTCATCCCTACTTTAATGTTGAGAATCGTATTTTTGGGGGACATTTTGAGCTGACACCCAATGTTGTGATGTCCAATAATTTCAGTCCATTATTTATTTTAATTTAAAGGCATGACTGTTTCTTAATCTGCAATTGTCCCAATGCCTGCTCTGCCATATTTTTACCAAACAAATTTTGTATTCATGCTTATTCTTCGTTCAATTTTTTTCTTTTTAAAAAATTTAATGGCCTGTTTGATTCAAAGAATTAAAGGGAATGCAATGTAACGTAATGTAATGCTAAGGAATGAAATATAATGTAATAAGGATTACATGTGTTTGTTTGGTATGTTATATGAGGGTGGGTATTTTGATATAAAATATGGTTGTAATGGGGATTACATAAATTTATTGATGTAATCCTCTTTACAGTGTATGATGTAATCCCCTTTATATGATGTAATCTCTTTTATTTTGT